TCCATCCGAACATGGGACCAATTCAAGGAAGATTTCAAGAAGCAATTCCGCCCGCATGACGCAGCCAAGGTCTCCATGATGAAGCTGCGTGAACTCAAGCATAGCAGCACCATCAAGGAGTACATCAAGCAATTTACAACCCTCGTGCTCGAAGTTGATGATTTGCCGGAGGCTACACAACGTATATATTTCATTGGAGGGTTGCAACGATGGGCTCAACAAGAGGTAGAAAGGAGGAACGTTCAAACACTTGCTGAGGCCATCGCAGCTGCAGAGTCCTTGGTTGATTACAGGGACACAAGGAAGGAAGGGCGCAGCAACGGCAGCAAGGGAAAAGGTGGGGGAGCCAAGCCCACCGATCGAAGCAGCACCAGTAGCAACAAGACGGTGAAAAAGGACAAGGCAAAGGGATCATCGTCGTCTCCTTCATCATCTGACAAGCCCAGCAACAGGGGCTGTTACTTGTGCGGAGGGCCGCACTGGGCAAGGGATTGCCCTGGGAGACAGAAGTTCAGCGCCATCATAGCTTCGGGCGGTGAATCGTCGGGGGACGATGCACAAATGGGGTCGTTGCGCCTCTTTAGTAGCGTACGGGCCACACCAAAAGCTGAGGAGAGCACCAAAGTGGTCAAGGTAAGCACGTTACCTCGCCCGAAGGGTTCACTTATGTTTGTTGATACATTAGTGAATGGGAGAGCTTCTAAGGCACTCGTGGACTGTGGTGCCTCACAAAACTTCATTACGGAGAAGGAAGCAATGAAGTTGGGAATCGAGTACACCAAGGAACCGGGGAGGATCAAGACGGTCAACACCTCGCCCGTTCCTATCCTTGGTGTGGCGCATAAGGTGCCTATTTGTCTGGGACAATGGAGTGGCACCATAAATCTCACAGTCGTGCATATGGACGACTTCTCTTTGGTGTTGGGACTTGAGTTCATCGACACAGTAAGGCCCTTTTCTTTTGAAGCAGACGGGTCAATTATGATCAAAAGGGATCAAGGGTCATGGTCCGTTCCTGTCACACGAGAAGAAGTTGAAGCCAAGACAATCTTAGCAATCCAGGTGTCCAAGGGGATCAAAAAGGGACAAGAGACTTTCTTGGCTGCATTAGTGGAGGAAGAGGAGCCCCATGGGAATGAGGTTCCATCAGAAATCTCCGGAGTCCTTGTAGAGTATAAGGATGTGATGCCTCCGGAGCTACCAAAGAGACTACCTCCTAGAAGGGAGGTGGATCACGAGATTGAGCTGGAGCCAGGGACCAAGCCTCCAGCCATGGCACCATACCGCATGGCCCCACCAGAGCTCGAGGAATTGAGGAAGCAATTGAAGGAGTTGCTGGAAGCAGGGTTCATTAGGCCCTCAAAGGCACCATTTGGAGCACCAGTACTATTTCAACGCAAGCATGATGGCAGCTTGCGAATGTGCATTGACTATCGGGCTCTCAACAAGATCACTGTCAAGAACAAGTATCCAATCCCGTTAGTCGCCGATTTGTTCGATCGACTCGGCAAAGCACGGTACTTCTCCAAGTTGGACCTGCGATCGGGGTATTGGCAGGTGTGCATCGCCGAAGGGGACGAGGCGAAGACGGCATGCGTGACCAGGTATGGTTCTTATGAGTTCTTGGTGATGCCTTTTGGACTCACCAACGCCCCTGCTACTTTTTGCACCTTAATGAATAAGATTTTTCGGCCTTTCCTTGATAAATTTGTAGTCGTCTATCTCGACGATATCGTCGTGTATAGCGACAACTTACAAGATCATGTGGAGCATTTGAGACAGGTGTTCCAGGTCTTACGAGAGAACGAGCTTTATGTGAAGCAAGAGAAGTGCTCGTTCGGACAGGAGGAGGTGTCATTCCTAGGACACCATATTAAAGCCGGAAAGATAATGATGGAGCATGACAAGGTGCAAGCCATCAGGGAATGGGAGGAGCCCAAGAACGTGTCGGAACTACGTTCTTTCCTTGGGCTCGCCAACTATTACAGGCGGTTCATCATGAGCTACTCAGCACGGGCGGCACCATTGACTGACCTGTTAAAGAAGAAGGCAAAATGGTGTTGGAGCGACAAATGTCAAGAGGCCTTTGATGACTTGAAAGATGTCGTCACCAAAGAGCCCGTATTAGCACTGCCCGACTACTCAAAGCCATTCGAGCTACACACTGATGCCTCAGATTTTGCTATCGGAGGAGTTCTCATGCAAGAAGGGCATCCAGTGGCCTATGAGTCACGTAAGCTCAATGACACTGAGAGGAGATACCCAGTGCATGATAAGGAGATGACAGCTATCATTCATTGCTTGCGTGTCTGGAGACATTATTTGCTTGGGAGTCGGTTCACCATCTATACCGACAATGTTGCAACAAGTTACTTCCAAAATCAAAAGAAGCTTAGCCCCAAGCAAGCTCGATGGCAAGACTTCCTGGCTGATTTTGACTACGCTATGGAGTACAAGCCAGGGAAGGTGAATGTAGTTGTTGATGCTCTGAGCCGCAAAGCAATCTTTGCTAGCGTGAGCAGCATAGCTAGCACCCTCCTTGATCGAGTCAAGGACGGCTTAAAGGAGGATTCTATGGCCAAGAGTTTGATGGACTTGGATAACGAGGGAAAGACCCGACGCTTCTGGATAGAGGATGGGATACTCTACACCGTCGGACGTCGCACCTATGTGCCTAAGTGGGACAACCTTAGGCGTGACATCATGAAGGAGTGTCATGATTCATTATGGGCTGGTCACCCTGGGATACAGCGGACGATGGCACTCTTGGAGGAGGTATACTACTGGCCTCACATGCGGGACGATATAGAGGCCTATGTGAAGACTTGTCTTGTGTGCCAACAAGACAAGGTAGAGCAACGTGTGCCAGCAGGACTCTTGGAGCCCTTGCCTATACCAGAGAAGCCATGGGAAAGCGTCTCAATGGATTTCATATCAGCCTTGCCCAAGTCAGAGGGGTTTGGCTCTATCATGGTAGTAGTTGATCGCTTTTCCAAGTATGGGACTTTTATACCGGCACATAAGGATTGCACAGGGGAGCAAGCCGCCAAGTTATTCTTCAAGAATGTGGTCAAGTACTGGGGCTTGCCAAAGAGCATCGTCAGCGACCGTGATCCAAGGTTCACCGCCAAATTTTGGACGGAGCTTTTCAAGTTGCTAGGGTCAGGTCTACATTTCTCCACAAGCTTCCACCCGCAGACGGATGGGCAGACAGAGCGAGTGAACGCTTTGTTGGAGCTCTATTTGAGGCATTTTGTGAGTGCCAATCAACGAGATTGGGCAAAGCTCATAGACATTGCCCAATTCTCCTTTAATCTGCAGCGGTCCGAGGCAACCCAGCAAAGCCCCTTTGAGATAGTCATGGGTCAACAACCCTTGACTCCACAAGCAGTTGTATCGGGCTACACGGGTAGCAGTCCCGCTGCCTACAGATTAGCTAGGGATGGCACGAGCAGCTCGACATCACCAAGGCTTACTTGAATAAGGCCGCTAAGAAGATGAAGAAGTGGGCCGACAAAAACAGGCGCCCATTGGAGTTTCAAGAAGGCGACCTAGTCATGGTGAGTCTTGCCGCACCAATTCAAAGTCTTCCGCAAGGTGCATAAGGGGCTAGTGCGGAAGTATGAAGGACCATTCCCGATCATTAGGAAGGTCGGGAAAGTTTCCTATAAGCTTGAGCTACCTCCCAAGCTGAAAATACATCCGGTGTTCCATGTTAGCATGTTGAAGTCTTACCATGCCGATCTGGAGGATCAGACCAGGGGAAAATCACAACGGGCACCTACGGCCGTGGTAGCATCGTTTGAAAGGGACATTGAGAGCATCGAGGCAAAGAGAGTCATAAGGCGTCGAGGTGTGCCAAGCTACAATGAATACTTTGTTCGTTGGAAGGGTCTCCCGGACAGCGAGGCCTCGTGGGAAAAAGAAGAAGATTTGTGGCAATTTGCGGACAAGATCGAGGCGTTCGAGTCGGGATCTTGACGAGGGCGTCAAGACTTAGGTGGGGGAGCATGTCACGACCCACACATTCCACCCCTCACTAGGGCCATTGGACGGTAGGCAACAATCGTGGCTAGGGGGAATGCCCTTGGTGCGCGCTGGCTAGGCCAGAGACACCCTCCCCCTATAGAGCTTTATATTGCTCCAGTGCTGTCACCCTAGTGAACACCCAAGTGACAGTAACACAATAATAGGCTATTTGGGGACCCAAATGAAGTCCGATTGAGCCCAAATTTGGGGGTCCACCATTTTTAGGCCCAATGAACATCATGGTGATGTTAGATTTTGAAGGAGAAGTCCGGAAGGTTCCAGAATACTCAAGGAGACTCGAGATGCATCCGGAAGCTTCTAGAACCTCCTAGGACATCCTTGAATCATCTGTAAATTCTAGAGTTGTGTAGATAATTCTAGAGCCTTGTACATAGAGGGAATGTACTAAAGAAATGTATAGAATACTCTAGAAAGGATTAGATCTAGAACCCTCCATTTGAGGAGGTTAGTGAAGGTTCTAGGCCATGCTTAGAACACTATAAATAGGGGACTTGGCCTTCATTTGGAGGCATCTCAGAAAATACTTGTAAACACTCTCTCTCAAGCTATCAAAGCATTCAAAATATTTATATCCTCTTGTGTTCTCAACATTCCTTAACTTTCGTTGCACACTCTTGCTTGAAGCATTTCGGGGTTAAGCCTTGACTAGCATCCGAGGGAGGGAAGTTAGTAGGCTAGCGTGCATAAGACTAGGGGGATTAGTCAGCACGTGACAATATGCTCTATATATGCCATCTAAGTTTGTTTGAACTCTTAACTTCCTTATTACAGGCTAGCTTTGTCCCGGCGGTATTAAATTACTGATAACTATCAGAAAATATATTACAGTATACAATTGGTTTGATGGTTCTGAATCATGCAGCATAAAATTTTACTTACTGTGTTGCTAGGTTTTTAAATGTATAAGGTTTCAGAATAGATTAATAACGAGTATAATATCTCATTTGCAGGCTTGCAGGTTTACAGGGAGCGTCTAAGCATTTCATGAGGAATCAAGCCAGTTAAATTCGCAAATATTAATTTTGTAACAACTTTTTTTAAGTGCTGTAGTTTATCCTCTCCTCTCTGATACGGGTTTTACTAACCTGCTACTCCACTTACTGCTAGTCTTTTGTGAACGATTCAACTTCTTGATACATCTATTATCAAATTCCTATAATAGACTATTTTTTTAGTGTTGAATGTTTAGCAGAGGTATACCAGATATTTGTTGATCAATCATCTCTGCAGAAAAGTATAACAGTTGGTCACTCTTTCTTTATATCTTCTGAGATCAGCTACTGCAAGACAATATAAATAGGTTACTGACCCTGTAATAACTGTGGTGGCTATAAGAATGTTGCGAATGATTTTCATAAACTTATTCAGATAGTAGAATGCATCATATTAGTAGCTCCTTTAGAAGTGCCTCTTCGAGGGTTCGGTAGGTGTAACTTGCAATGAAGTTAAAGGGCGTCTCTAGCAATGAAGTTTCAAGTTTTTTTTTTTTTTTTACTGTAGAACAGGGGAAGGCAGAAAAAAAAAAACAAAAAAACAAAAAAAAGTAAAGATGATAAGTTGTTACAAGAACGATTTCCCTAGAAATTGTTACTCGTAATATATAATTTAATTCCCTATTTACATTGGTTTAAATACTTATTCCCACTATATTGTCCACTTAGGATTGGGAAAAGGTTCAAGGAAACATTCAAAAAAAAAAAAAATTCTTGTTGAGCTAAGAACCGCTAACGGTGAATCGGTGATAGTTGTTCTATACATTAAAACCGCAAATACTGTTAGCGGTTCTTTACTGAAAACTTTCTTCTTCTTTCGATTTTATTCACTTCAAAATCCAACACCAATCTACTGGTTTCAAAAACTCAATCTATTTATCAATTTGTCGAATTGAGTTTTTACAACTATTTTATTATCTACTCAATCTACTTTATCAACAATTAGTGTCGACTCAACCTTGGAACTCACCTCTGTTATGAAGAACAATCACCAATCTTCTCCAAGATTTCTGAAATAGAATAATAATCACGAAAATACCCATAACGATTCAAGGTTTTTAGCAATTTGAAAGGCAATGAGAGTAATTTCACCCACGTTGATGCTGCGGAGGAAGTAAAAGTATGACTGATTTAGGATTGTCATTTTTTATCTTAATCTTGGCCATCTGTCTCTTATGCGAGCTTATAGAGATAACTAAAAGAACCGCTAACAGTGTTTGCGGTTTTAATGTATAGAACCGCTATCACCGTTAGCGGTTCTTAGTTGAACAAATTTTTTTTTTAAAAAAATAACGAACCTTCCCCATCCTACGTGGACAATATAATGAGAATAAGTTTTTAAACCGACACAAATAGGGATAAATTATATTTTAACAATTTTTACGGAAATCTCCCGCTTAGATTTGATTAGCATTGAGAAAAAAAAAAGATAAAATTAGTATCCTAACCCTTGCCTAGCAGTTTATGTAAATTATAAATAGGCCTGTTAGATGTGTGAAAATTTTGGTAGGTTTAGGAGTCTTCCTAGTTAGTTATGTAATGTGTATTATAAATATAATTACAATTTAGAAGGCTAAGTTGTTTACTCTCCGTTTCAGCAAAAAGACGAGAATGTTGGACGACAAAGAAACTCACATACCAGTAGATTTACTGAGGGACATACTGGCAAGGCTACCGGTGAAAACCCTACTACGATACAGGTGTGTTTGTAAACTCTGGTGTACTCTAATCGATTCCAAGGATTTTCGCCTCAACACAAACAATCGTAAAAACACTGATGTATTAGTTATGAGAAGCGTTAAAAACCGCGATCAATTTATATTTACTGTTCGAAGCACTGATACATCTAAGATAACTGATGATCTTTGCATGATTTGCGAGTCATATACACTTCTTGGAACCTGTAATGGGTTGATGTTGATGTTGATGTCTAAGAAACTATCTGACAACACAGTTATGTTGAGATTGTGGAACCCTTCAATTCAAAAGTCCTTGATACTTCCATCGTGTCCTTTGAGTTCTGAGTACTTGATTAGAGTGATTTCCATTGATCAATATTTATAGGGTTACAATGAGAAACCTAATCATATTAGGTAAGTATAAGATATGTACAGATATCAAAGATAATCTTATACAAAATATATCCTAAACCTAGGATGAGAATATTCTATGGATATTCTCTATCACACCCCCGCAGTCAGAGCGGGGGAAAATCGGATGCTCAGACTGGATTTGAATCACGCATCGAACGGTAAGGATAGTATGGTAACCCATGATCAAAGAGAAGTAGTAGACATGTGCTAGTGATGACGATGAGAAGCAACAACCATGACCTACGTATAGTAGAGATATACACTTTTAGGCCGAAGGAGAAGAGTCACGCATATACTTGGGCCAAGTTGCAGATCCAGAGAAGAATAAGTTAAGGGATCAAACCATCATCGGGGAGAAGACACTACACTACTACGTGAAATCACAGTTGAAAAAAAACAAATAAAATTGCGCAAGAAAAGATTAAATTCCACCCCTTGAAATTAATCAATTCTCAATAAAAGAGAAACCAGGTAGCAAGAATTAATACTCCACAGAGATTCCAAGTGCTGCAACAATAAGAGGAGCTAACTTGATAGCAAAAGAGATGTGCAAAAGTTGACCTTATTGTGATATACCACCACCAAAACAAAATCTATGTGATTATGTGTAGAAAAACCAATGAGGCAATGTAAGAATCATTGTTGGTCATGGGGAGGTGGAAATAGAGTGCGGAACATGGAGTAGGTTGGCAGATGTGGTTACTGCCAGTAGTGGGAGGCGGTAGTGTATGCGCTTGCCACCAATGATGGAGGAGGCTTTCGCGGTTGCTACTGTTGGTGGGAGGCGCAAGGTTACATAAAGATTCAAAAAAAAAACTTTGAGAAAAGAAAAAAAAATCAATATGTGTGTTTGCAGAAGCATAAAAAACTTTGTATATCCCGCCGGTGGGTTTAATTTTCTAACCCACCGGCAGGGTGAGAATTTTTGTATATGATCCCAAGATCTCACCTAAGCTGTGATACCATGTCAGATAATGTAAACTCCTTAATTAGAGTGATTTCCATTAATCAATATTTATAGGGTTACAATGAGAAACCTAATCATATTAGGTAACTATAAGATTTATACAGATATCAAAGATAATCTTATACAAAATATATCCTAAACCTAGGATGAGAATATTCTATAAAATATTCTCTATCACTATCAAATGAGATACGTGCTGGGGTGTTCTTCCGGTGACAACAATTATAAGGTGGTTGTCATTAAACTTGGTGATAGGTGTGGTAGTGGTAGGTGGGATGTGTTGATTGCAGTTTATTCATTTCAAAATCATAGTTGGAGTCCTGAAATAAAAAGGAAGAGTAATGTCCCTCGATGCCATCTCTATCTGGTCGTTTGTACTTTCGAGGGGCTTGGTACTGGATTCAAGAAACTCGTCTTGTCTCTTTTGATTTTGATTCCCAGGACTTCAGCTTTGTGGAGTTGTCGGATGTCACGACGCAATCAAACTGTTGTTGGTTTATTTTCGTTCTTGGTGAGTCATTAGCTGTTTTTAGTTTGTCTCCTAAACGCTTTTGCATATGGGTTATGGATAAGGATAATGGAAAGGAGGCGTCGTGGAGGCCATGGCTTTCAAGAGATTCAAAACATAGGGAGTTTTCTACAATCAAGCCTTGGACAAATTATTATTCAAGGGTCTTCTATAATCAGGACATTGATACACTTATCATACACCTCTATGAAAGAGTGATTTCTTACAACTTTTCTACTAAACAAATAAAAACTTTGAGCTGCTTAGTTCGTGATAGTATGACTTATGTAGAGAGCTTGGTGTTGCACAAAGGAATTGAAGGTCAGACTTTGACATCCTTCCCATGATCGACGAAACAGATTTTTAGGCCGTCCCCGATATTGGAAGGTCACAGGTAAGATTTATGCATGTCGGCAGAATTCCGACTTTCATTTACATCTAAATTATGATTTGTAGCATATTCTTTTAATTAGAATCCTATAAAAAAAATTTTACAAAATGCATCAGTATTTCAGAATAGACTAACAGAGTATAATATCTGATTGCAGGGAGCTACTAAGCATTTCATGAGGAATCGAGCTAGCTAAATTGGTAAACATTGATATCAAGGGAACTTATTATAGTGCAGTAGTTAATCCCTCCCCTCTCTAGTCTCTAATACGATTTTTACTAAGCTGTTATACTGCTAGTTTTTTTGTAAATGATTCAACTTCTTAAAACATCTATTAACTAATCCTGATTCTATTTTTACTTTTTAGTGTTACATATTTAGCATTGTTGATTTCTAAACAACAGTGTCACTCTTTCTACATGTCTTCTGAAATTTGCTACTGCGAGACAATACAAACAGGTTACTAACCCTGTAACTGTGATGACTATAAGAAAGTCGCGAATGATTTTCATAAACCTATTGAGATTGTAGAATGCTTCATATTTGTCAATTGCAGTCATGTTAAACAGAAGCAACTACCATAGAAGTGCTTCTATGAGGGTGTAACTTGAAATGAAATCAAAGGGCATCTCTAGCAATGAAGTTTTAAGTTTTAAGTTCGTTTTAACTTCAATAGTTCAATGATCTAACCCAATCTCTCGTTTCCCATTGACCAATAGTGATCGACATGTTATGGTATCCAACTACTAGTATTTTTGTTAGTTGAGATCTAGGTTCTTGAATGGATAGAGAACTAGGAGAACCTAAAAGGCGAATACCCGTTATTGGTAGTCAAAACTAGTTGGCTCAGGTGATGCCCAGTGTTGTTACTTGTTAGTTGATAGTAGATTTACCAACACTTATAACTTCCATTTTCATATTTCAATTACAATTTGTAAACTAAATTTCTGGTCTTTAACCCATAACTATTTTGTTCCTAGCTACAAACCTGCAAGATTATTGAAATATTTATATTTTGAAATGGTTGGGAAAGTGTTGAAGCTTAAAGGTTTTGATGAACTTAAACTAAAGCAAACTCAACTAATAAAGGTTTATAAGTGTTTGACTAGTACAGGTGAAGTTGACCTTAAAGGTGGAAGAGTATCTTGAACTATGAAGACATGAAGAGACCTTTAATGAAAAGTTAAACAATATAGAAGAAGAGTTCTCTATCAAGAACTAAACTCCTTAACAGGAATGTTCCCTAACAGGAACTTGGAAGATGTAAGTTGAAGATAGTAAGTTCCATAAGGAACTTAGACTACGAAGTTCCAGTTGAGGACTGGAGATCGAGTGACAGCAGGAACTTGTTCCTGGTCTGCGTGAAGCCCAAGTAATTCAAGTTTACAGAAACGCGGCACAACAATAGTAATTTAGTTAAGATTTTATCTTCTAGATTTATTGTTAAATATGTTAAGTAGATGTGCATGAAATCTATTAGAAGCGTGATAAGATAAATTGACAAATATGATAAAATTGGAAAAGATAAAAAGATAGATTTTAGGAAAAGATTTTATTTAAATTTGTTTCTTTAAAATCAGTTTTTTAAAAAAGATATTATTCTTTTAATTATATCTTTCTTTATTTTCCGGAAAAAGATTTTCACAAAATATGTTTTACATAAACGGTGTTCTTGAGATAAGGAAAGTTAATTTTTATCTTTTTGAAAACCCTACTTTCTATACGAGTTATACTTGTATAAATATTAGAGAAATGATCTCATTAGGTTTTTGTGAGTTTATGCGTGAAGAAATCTAGAGCTTAATTCGTGTAAGTTTGCCAAGCTTTATCTTGTCATATTAGTTTCGGATTTCGTGCACTGCTTGCCTAACATATTCTAGGTGTTATATTTTCTGTAATTGGTTGGGTTATTGGGTGTGAGTGTATGAAATCTATATTGCATACAGGTGAGACAGCTTTGTGTACAAAGGCTATGATTGTAATGTGAGGGTACGAGTGAATTTAAGTCAGGGGACTTGAATTGGGTAGGATAGAGTCCTACTGTGTAACAAGTTCTAATTGGAACTTGTGAGCAAAGGTCTGTCTTATAATAGGTTTGTAACTTGGTGTTTGCCCTATTATAGTGGATTGGTTTTTGTGTTGAAATCCCTTAGAAGGGTCGAGGTTTTACTTCCAGTTAGGCCCTGGAAGGTTTCCTCGTAAAATCTTGTGTGCTTTGCTAAGTTCCTTTTATGTTCTGTTTATAATTTGCAAAAGTAGTCACTAGAAACTCAACTACAATTCACCCCCCTCTTGTAGTGTTCGTTTCAACTAACAAAAAGAGTTAGGATAAATCATGCCAATAGCAAGTATAATAGCTCCATCAATATTGCAGTGGAACACTAGAACATATGCGACTTTCCATAAGTTGGCCCATTAATTACACTTGTAACTTTATTTCATTTGGCCCAACGTCAAACTTTTAGGGATAAATCTATTGGGCTTGGCTCCCTAGCTTGATTAATTGGATTCATAAAATGATTACAAATTTTTCCTCTATTTTCTTTTATTATTTTTTTAAAAAACATTTTTTATTTGACGGATTTTTTTAAACATTACTTCTTCTATCCCTTTATTAGAAGCCTAAATCTAATAATTATTATTCATATAAATAGGCTTTTAATTTAGGGACAGAATAAGTATCAAATTTACATTTGTTTATTACTCCGTATTGATTTTACATAGGATGATAAAGTATATTGTTATGAATCTAAGAAGTTGTACATGAAAAAGTTTTGAAATGTATCAATTAAGATTCATAATCAACTTCAAAAATACGTTCTTTAGTTTACAACTATCAGGGCCTGTTCTCATTGACTGAACTCAACTGAGCTGAAATGAACTGAACTGAAATGAATATTTTATAAGAGAAGGAAATTAGAAGCTGAACTGAACTAAACTGAACTGAACTGAATTTCAACGTAAGAGAACAGGCCCTTAGTTAATTTTATACAATGTCTCTGAAAATATGAGTGATAATTGTTAGTTTAAGAGTGTTGGGTGAATACAATTTTCAAACTTTAGAGACACTTGTATTTTGAAACCATCATTAATAAATTATATATAACTGAAGTGACAGACTGACAGTCATCTCTTCTTAGATGTTTAAAAAAAGTTAGATGATTTAAAAGAAACTCAAAAAATAAAATAAAAAAATAAAAATGAACAAAATGTCTTTAGAATAATTTATTGGAGTACACAAGAACACTTAAATTTTAGGTCAAGTTACCAATTGGTTATTGGTGTAGTGGTGATTAGGGTTGCACTTGATAGGGAATATCGCGTATTTGATCTCCCGCAAGCCCGCAACAATAATTGGAAGGGGGTAGGAATCTAACTACCTAAAACTGATCAGATCCCCAAATTCAAATTACCTCAAAGTGTAAATTGGGTGAAACACCAAAAAATAATTTTAGCTCTAGTTTTGTGACTTGTCTTTGTATCTTATTTCATAAACTTTACGTCGTTCGTAAAAGAGAGCCGAAATAAATCTTTAATGGGGCCAAATAGAGAGATATGTTAAATATTACTTCCTTCATTTCTTTTTAATTGGCACGTTTCTTTAGTCACATTTGCCGAATTACAATTTCAACCATTCATATCTTTAATTACCGATAAGCAAAAATTATGAAAATTTGATGTTTTGAAAATATATATCGTGACTAATCTAACAAGATCCTACATGACTGTATTTTTAATTACGTATAAAGCACAAAACACGGTCAAAATAGAGTGTGTCAATAATGCTAAAATCAAAACGCGTCAACTAAAAAAACGAAGGTAGTATCAAACTCCCAAATCTTGGCGATAAAAGTGACCCAAAAGCTAAAACCCTTTTAAATAATTTTGTAACACAAACATTATAATCTGGGGCTAAACTAAGCTCTTGTTTAAGACAACCTAATAGTTAGTAGTACAAAAACTGAGCAGACGTTGAAAAACTTGTGGGAACAAAATGAATAAATGAACACAGGCTGTGAAAGTGATGGACAGTATTCCAGCTAATAAGGGAGATACAGTAAAGTATCTTTGACAAATAAAATAATGATGAAATCATCTAAGAAAAACCCTAATATATACTAGTATATAAAACTCAGGCTTGCACGTCAAAGTAAAACTGATTACAAGCTTATCGTATAAGCTTCTTATTTGGTTGTGAGGCTTGTTTAAGAAGCTAAGGACATAGGCCCCGATCATATCCACTAACTGTCGGCTAAAAGCCTCTAATTTAATGTTTTAATATTACTCATACTAGGAATTTTGGAGAATATATATAGGAGGTGCCAATATGTGATCCTTTGCAACATCACTATGTATATTTTTTTCATCAACACGTGAAGTGTGGTGTTTTTAATTGATGAATCATTTAAGTGTGGTCCGATCTAGTATGATTTGATTGCATTTGATGAGGTCTTCTGGTTTGATTTTATGATTTGATTGAATTACTTTTTCTGTTGTAAAAATGTTTTAAATTAATCGGCACATTTGTGAATACAGAATTTTGACCATCAATACATATAGAAAAGATAATGAAATACTATCCCGTCAAAAAAAAGAGATAATGAAATACTACGTATATACTTACGTAACTTGTTTAACTATGTATATTGATTGAACTAAAATAAACTCTAGACATGGATAATAGGTACTCAGTAGCTAAGGGCTTACTCTCTTCAGCTTATTTTCAGTTCAGTTCAGCTCCAATAAGTTCAGTTCAGTTCAGTTCTGCTCCAATAAATTCAGTTTAGCTCATTTCAGTTCATCAGAACAGACTCTAAACTTAAGGATTCAATTCGAGTTCGTTCAAGTGGACCAATTCAAATTAAACAAAACTTGAATCGCCTTTTAACTAGGTTCTAATCAATCAAGCCGACTTTAAGTAGCTTATCTCACTTACAATTTTTTTTTATTAAAAAGAACGCAATACATATATATTTCATGTATAAATTAATTTCTGAAATGCTTAGTTGGAAATGTAGAGAATCTAAAGTTTGTCTCAATAAACAAAACCACAATTAATTTACATTATGAAAAAGAACATGACACATGAGATGAAGATCGAGGGGAATGAAGAGGGTACTTAGAAGAGAGGATTCCTTGCTTGGCAATTTGGCTTGACAAGTATACTTGAAGAAAAAGAATAATTTCTAATTTTAAAGAGCTTATATTTTTTAAAAAAAAATATATTAATAAACAATAAATTGAATTAAAAATACTTGTTGATGGTAGAATCATACCTTTAATTCTTATTTTAAAAAATGGTAGGTTGGATTTGTATAATAAATATAATATAATTTGGTAGGGTGTAGATAGATGTACATATACTGCCTACTACAATATATATGGTATTACTACAAGTACGTAACTTAACAAAAGCTTTAAGATCACTCTTAACATTATATTGACACTGCATCTAATAAGGAGGCTGCCCCTTCCTTCGATATCCCAGCCTAAAGGACTTGGTATGGTAAAATGTCCTAACTTGAGAATCATCTTGCTCATTCTCTACTCTATCATAACGCTAACACAAACCCTTTTTTTTTTTTTTTTTGATTATCTTTATATAGGTCTTTATCTTACTACCCATACATTAATTAAATTAATAAGACAGTCGCGATTTTTTCAACTACTATGCATTCAAGTAGATATGCTATATATAATGAACTCTCCTAAATAAATGAGTAGTCAATTAGCTATACGGTATTTCTAGGTGTATAATATACGAAATAAAAAAATAACACCAATGCATCTTAGACATACAATAAATTTGCTCAACTAAAAGGAAAAATAAGGTAAATTCAAAAAATGGTTATTATATATTTTAAGATGTGTGTTGTAATTCAAATATTATAATAACCTAATGAGTGACCATTGTTTAATGTGGTTCAAAACAAGCCAAGAATTTGTAAATTCCAATCCAACTCATAATACACTCTTGTATCAAAAGGTCTTGGTCAAGTCAAAACAAAAAATTAAACTAATGATAATGATGGATCGACCCATAAGTCGACCTAATCACTAAAATCAGTCTATGTATGAATGCATGTATAAATATTCCAAAATTACAACTAATATTTAACGGATGTAGTATATTTTTTGTGTGTGTAATAGCTTATAGTTTATGAAATAATATAATGTTTCTAGTTATTCCACTTTTTAATTGTTGCTGCAGCAAGAAAGAAGGGAATCATATAAGGCTGATGATGATCTAGTGTACTGTAAAGTACAACACTATATAATTTTCACCTCAACACCAACATCATCGCCAATTCATGAGATGAATCTTACGAATTAAAGAAAAGGATTGGAGTTTTTGAAAATATGGATATGGGAAGCAACTTTTCTTTAACCTTATTCGACTCAATTGACTACACTATACTCTATAGGGAGTAAACTAGTTAACTAGTCCGGCTTGAGCTAGGGTTGCTCGACTTAACTTTGCATCAATTCAAATTTAAGCCAAGTCAATCTTAAAGTATAATATTACCTTTCGTAATTTATAACTCATTAATCTTACTGTACATTTGAAGCATTAAAATTCTCACAAACTTTTCATTTCAATCATACTTTGATCTACTACTCATACAAAGTATCTTGATTTGAGCACACTTGAGTAGACCTAAGATAAAAATTTTAATACCACATCCCTTGAGCTCATCATAACATCCAAATCGACAATTCTCTCTAGCCGTAACACTATTGAAAGAGTCTAAGGACGTCATCTGACATATTCAAGACCTTAAATCAAATCTTATCAACACTATTATTAATGTCCTTAACGAGTACTTTCATTACTTATTTCTAAGAAATGTATCAAATGCTTAGACGTAAGTATGTAACCTTATACAAACTAAATCATTTTCTTTAATAAAAAATTAAAAAAAAAAACAAAAAAATCAAAGGAAAGGTGCACAATATGACGGTGTGTAACGATTATACCCTATCACTCTCTCTCACTTTCAACGACTTGACGTCCAAGCAACCTCTCTCTTATGTGTAGAAAATACTCTCTTTTTACGCTTTTCCCATCTCTCTTTCTCTCTCCTCAATCTCCTCCTTTCTCTCTCTACAATTTTACCTGCAAATCCCTCCATTTATACCCATTTCCCAATTACTTCAAACCCCACAAAATTATTATTATTATTATTATTTCTTCTTTTTTTTTTCTCATTTTTTGGGGTTTAATAAACTTCATTTTTCTGGGTAGATTTTCTTTTGCTGTATTTTTTTGGGTGATTGAAAGGTATGAAATGACATGGTGCAACATTAATAACCCTTCTACTAGTAGTAATATCAATATTAACACTAATAATGATGATATTAACATCAATAACTTCAATATAATTACTGAAAAATCATCTTCTAATGATGATATTAATAAACATGGTGGAATTTTAAATTCCAAAATTAACCCTCTTCATACTATCTCTTGCCCTTCTTGTGGTCATCACTTACCCCTTCAAGATAAGGTAATTTTTTCTATTTTACATATTTTTATTAAAAAATATTATTACTTTTTTGGCGTAGAGAGAGATGCAGAGGTAATGATGGAGACGTGATTTAATCTCAAGTCTCGGATTTTATTTTTAAAGTTCGGTTTAATTTTGTGTATGCAGGGAGCTGGGGGAATAAATGATTTACCAGGGTTACCTGCAGGGGTGAAGTTTGATCCAACTGATACAGAAATTTTAGAACATTTAGAAGCTAAAGTGAAGTCTGATTTGGGTAGGTTACATCCTCTCCTTGATGAATTCATACCTACTATCGACGGCGAAAACGGAATTTGTTACTCTCATCCTGAGAAATTACCAGGTTTGTAACTATTTTCAATTAATAAGTTTTGTTTTTACAAGTATTTCATTTGATTTGTGTGATTTGTGATGTGGTATGTTGATAAGTATTAGGTGACTCGTACTTCGTAGCTTTGTCCGCCCGATCGGGCGGACATTGCCCGGTCTGACCGGGCGGTGGGGGTTGGATACGTTGAAGCATTCGTATGGAGTTTTCTTCTCGCGCCCGATCGGGCAGACCTTGCCCGGTCTGACCGGGCGGAGAAGGAAAAATGCGGAGACGCGGATTTTACGATTTAAAGTTATCTTTTATGTTATCTTTTTGCCCAAGTATCTTTTATTTTAGGGATTAATATAAAAACCTCCCTAATATTAGTATAAGGGTTAAGAGAGAGAGAGTGAGAGCCGTTCTTGAGAAATACAAGAATCATCTTTGTAATCTTTGCAGTTTATAGTGAAATCATTCGATCTCGGTGCCCGTGGACGTAGCTATCACATCGATAGTGAACCACGTAAATTCTTGGTGTTGTTCTTATTGTTTGCATTGAATTTCTTTATTGTTTTCTTGTTTGTTTTCGACCTTTGCTTCCGCTGTCGCACAACAATTGGTATCAAGAGCTCAGGTTCAATCCTTGGAGAGTTTCTTGAAGATAACAATGGCAGGAGATTCAACAATAAGAATTGAGAAGTTTACCGGGAAAAATAGTTTCGGGCTATGGCAAATTAAGATGAAGGCTCTGTTAAAACAACAGCAGATATGGCGTCCGTTGGCTCCAAAGAGTACTACTTCGGAGTCAGAAGATGGACCGACTGACCCGCAGTTAGAAGTTATGGAAGAGAAGGCACACTCTACCATATTACTTAGTCTTGATGATCAAATCATCACGGAGGTGGCTGATCAGGAAACGGCGGCTGGATTGTGGCTGAAGCTGGAGTCATTGTATATGACTAAGTCGTTGACCAACAAATTATTACTGAAACAGCGGTTGTTTAGCCTCCGGATGCAGTCAGGTACTTCCTTACGGGAACATCTAGAAAAACTTAACTCTATTTTGCTTGATTTACGTAATTTAGATGTTAAAATTGATGATGAGGATGCTGCGTTGATTTTACTTGTATCTCTACCGTCTAGCTTTGAGAATTTTGTAGAGTCTTTTGTTGTTGGTAAGGATTCTATAACCTTAGAAGAAGTGAAGGCAGCACTTCATACTAGGGAACTCAGAATGAAAGCTACGAGTGATAATGGGGATAATGGTAGTGGGTTGTTTGTTAAGTCCGGAAAGTCTAAAAAGAATAAGGGGTTTAACAAGGGGAACAATGCTGGGTCGGGTGCTGGAAACGGCAAGGATGGATCTAGTAAAACTACTACTAAAACATGTTATTACTGTAAAGAACCGGGTCACTTTAGGAATAATTGTCCGGTGAGGAAAAACAAGTCCCAGGCTGCTGTAGTTGAAGAGAAACCGAATGAGAGCTATAATTCAGAGGAAGATTTAGCATTAGTCAGTTCTGCTAGGTCTGATGATTTATCTGATAACTGGGTTCTAGATTCGGGGTGTTCGTTCCATATGTGTCCACGTCGAGATTGGTTTGATACATATGAACCTCGCAATGGGGGTATGGTTATAGTCGGTAACAATGCTCCATGTAAGGTCACAGGTATTGGTTCCATGAGGTTGAGGACTGTTGATGGGCGGAGGTTAACTTTGACTAATGTACGGCATGTTCCTGCTTTAGGAAAGAATCTGATTTCATTGGGTACCCTGGATGACTTGGGGTACAATGGTGTGTTTTCAGATGGGGAGTTGTGTATTTTCAGAGGTTCTGAGTTGGTACTTAAGGGTATCAAAAGGAACACCCTCTATGTTTTTGAGGGTGTTACACTGCCTAGTTCTGCGGTTTGCGCATCTGTATCTCACCAGGAGATGACTAAGATTTGGCACATGAGGCTTGGTCATATGGGGGAGAAGGGGATGCAGCTATTGTCCAAGAGGGGTCTTCTATCCGGGGTCAAGGTTGCCAACCTTGAATTTTGTGAGCATTGTGTGTTTGGTAAGAAACACAGGTCAAAGTTCAGCAAGGGTGCTCACATTACTGATGCAGTGCTCGATTACATCCATTCAGATTGCTGGGGTCCATCTAGAGTTGAAGGTATGGGAGGTTACCACTATTTTGTGTCATTTGTTGATGACAAGTCCCGATACACATGGCTTAGGTTGCTTAAGTCAAAGGATGAGGCCTTCAAAGTTTTCAAGCAATGGAAAGCTTTGGTGGAAAATCGACAAGGAAGGAAGATCAAGAAGCTACGAACGGACAATGGGCTAGAGTTTTGCAAAGACGAGTTTAATCAGTTCTGTGCAGATGAGGGTATAGGTCGGCATCATACTGTCAGGAAGACACCACAGCAGAACGGTGTAGCAGAACGGGTTAATCAGACACTGCTAGAGAGAGTTCGATGCATGCTCTCTAATGCAGGGCTTGGGAGGAGGTACTGGAGTGAAGCTGTGTTAACAGCTTGTTATGTCATTAATAGGGGTCCTCATTCTGGAATTGATTCCAAAATTCCGTTTGAGATCTGGAGTGGTAAGTTGCCTAATTTTTCGAATTTGAAGATTTTTGGTTGTGTTGCTTATTATCATGTTATTGAGGGTAAGCTGGATCCACGAGCCAAGAAGGGGTGTTTTGTTGGGTACGGGGATGGTGTGAAGGGGTTTAGAATTTTTTCACCTTCGGAGGGTCGGGTCATTCTTAGTAGGGATGTTACTTTCGATGAAAACACCATGTATTCAATTAAAAATGCAGAGATTTCAGATTTGAGAAGGGAAGGAGACAATTTATTACAGACAGATGGGGTACTTGAGGTACATCAGTCTACCATTGCTGATTTACCTCGGGTACAATATATTGATGATGATGCTGATGTTCCAGTGCCGGGTACTCCTGAACCTGAGATTACTCCTACTCATTCTAACTCTGGGGATGAGGTGGAGCAATCTAATCAGGGGTCATCTAGTCAACCTGACACCATTCTTGAGATGCCTAAACGAGTTATCAAGAAGCCTGTTAGATTGATTGAAGAGATGGAGGGAAGAAATTGCTGTGTTGATGCGATGACAGGTTATGCATTGAGTGTAGCTGATGATGTAGAGTCATTTGAACCTGCCACATATAAACAAGCAATTAGTTGTAGTGAGTCTGCGCAATGGCTTGCCGCAATGGGTGAAGAGATGCAGTCTCTTTACAAGAACAGAGTGTGGGAACTGGTAAAGGTACCGGAAGGGAGGAAGCTTGTGGGTTGTAAATGGATTTACAAGAAGAAAGAAGGGTTGTCGGAAACTGAGCAAATACGTTTTAAGGCTAGGCTAGTTGCTAAGGGGTTCAGTCAGGTAGAAGGGGTTGATTTTGTTGAGATATTCTCACCTGTGGTTCGACATACTTCTATCCGTGTGTTATTGTCAATTGTAGCACATTTTGATCTTGAGCTGGAGCAGTTGGATGTTAAAACGGCTTTCCTTCATGGCGATTTGGAGGAGGAGATTCTGATGAAGCAGCCCGAAGGATTCGAAGTTCCTGGAAAGGAACACTATGCCTGCAGATTGCTAAAGTCATTGTATGGACTTAAGCAATCCCCCCGACAGTGGTACAAAAGGTTTGATTCTTTTATGGTTTCACAAGGTTTTGACAGGAATTCATATGATTGCTGTGTGTATCATAGTAAGCTGGATAATGGTTCCATGATTTATCTTTTGTTATATTTTGATGACATGTTGGTTGCCACAAAGAATAAATCTGATATTGCTAGATTAAAGGAGATGCTTAACTCGGAGTTTGACATGAAAGACTTGGGTGCAGCTAGGAAGATTTTGGGTATGGAGATCTACAGGGATCGGGCTAGAGGTAAGCTTTTCTTGACTCAGAAAAGCTACATTGAAAAGATTTTGTCTCGTTTTGGGATGGAAAAATCGAAGCCTATAAGTACGCCAACTACTGTTAGTTGTAAGTTGTCTTTGTCTATGTCACCTCAATCAGAGGAGGAGTTGTCTTATATGTCTAGAGTTCCATATGCAAACGCGGTTGGTTGTTTGATGTATGCTATGGTCTGTACTAGGCCGGATATTGCGCATGCTGTTAGTGTTGTAAGCAGGTTTATGGCTCGACCTGGGAGGGAACACTGGCAAGGGGTGAAAAGGATTTTTCGCTACCTGAGAGGGACAATGGTCTTGTGTACGGGAATGGTAGGGAATGCTTGGTCACTGGGTACAGTGATTCTGATTATGCAGCTGATGTGGATACCAGGAGGTCTGTGACTGGTTATGTGTTCACTTTGGGTGGTTCTGTGGTTAGTTGGAAGTCTACATTGCAGTCATCAGTTACGTTGTCAACTACTGAAGCTGAGTATATGGCTTTAACTTCTGCAGCTAAGGAGTCTATTTGGCTCAAAGGCCTAGTAGGTGAACTGGGTATTGCACAGGATTTTGCTACAGTGTATTGTGATAGTCTAAGTGCGATTTGCTTAGCTAAAGATCAAGTACACCATGATCGGACGAAGCACATTGATGTCAGGTATCATTTCTTGCGTACTGACAAGAGGATTAAGGTGAAGAAGATTGGGACTGCTGACAACCCGGCTGATTTCTTCACTAAGCCTGTTCCGTTTAGCAAGTTTAAACATTGCTTAGACTTGCTAAATATTGATTACTACGTGATGTAGTAGGCCCTGAGGGGCGAAGTTGGGGAGCTCCTGGTGTAGGTGTGTTGGCCTTAAGGTGGAGCTTGCCCGGGGCTTGTGATGCAGGTGGAGCATTATGAGTTGTTATACTTGGAGACGAGTATGTGATGGGTCTTGGTTGAAGACTTATCGGGATGTATGGCTTATGCATGAGTCTTGCATCGGGTTTGGCTTGAGATGTTTTTCCACTATGTCTTGATGGGGTCGTTTGCTGACTACGAGTTCTCGTCAAGGTGGAGATTGTTGATAAGTATTAGGTGACTCGTACTTCGTAGCTTTGTCCGCCCGATTGGGCGGACATTGCCCGGTCTGACCGGGCGGTGGGGGTTGGATACGTTGAAGCATTCGTATGGAGTTTTCTTCTCGCGCCCGATCGGGCAGACCTTGCCCGGTCTGACCGGGCGGAGAAGGAAAAATGCGGAGACGCGGATTTTACGATTTAAAGTTATCTTTTATGTTATCTTTTTGCCCAAGTATCTTTTATTTTAGGGATTAATATAAAAACCTCCCTAATATTAGTATAAGGGTTAAGAGAGAGAGAGTGAGAGCCGTTCTTGAGAAATACAAGAATCATCTTTGTAATCTTTGCAGTTTATAGTGAAATCATTCGATCTCGGTGCCCGTGGACGTAGCTATCACATCGATAGTGAACCACGTAAATTCTTGGTGTTGTTCTTATTGTTTGCATTGAATTTCTTTATTGTTTTCTTGTTTGTTTTCGACCTTTGCTTCCGCTGTCGCACAACATGGTACATAGAGAGCCAGGAGGGTTTGTGTTATGTTTGGGATTTATTAATCCGAGACTTTACCAACTAATCTAGCTAGCGGCGTAGTTGAGGACTCAAGGGTTAGCAATCTTAGCATCATGCATGCCTTTTGGATCCAAATTATATTTTGGGTGTAGATTAGTACGGAGTAGTATTTAATTTTATTTTAAAAGGAATTAAATTAATTAGTAGTGGCGTGCTAAGAATAAAAATGAATGTTGAATAAAAATTAATTACTTGTAATTAGTAATACTAGCGTGCTAAGAATATATTGATGTTGTTTTCAGTCGATTTATGACACATTTCCATTTAGGTTGCTTCCCTTGCAAGCATCTATTAGGACTTAAGAGTAGTTTTTTTAAATTAGTTTTTGTGGATTTTTGGTATTTTGTCAATTTTTGGAATTTTGTTGCAAATGGTACTAATTTTATGCATTTAATCTCCAACCAAAATCCTGAATCTCTGCTTCGTAATTTAGGGGAAATTGGGTCATTTTTGTTGATCGTATTTATAATTAGGAAAAAAAATTAAAATTCTTCAATTCATTCCCCCAAAAATTCGTATATCACATTTTTTTATTATGGATCGTTCAATGATAATAAGACTTTCTAAATCTAGTAAGTTTTTTAGTAAGTTAAGTTTTTGTAATTTAAGATATTTGAATGAACTTATTTGTGGCCGATTATATAGGGCATAGGGAGAATTATCTGCCTTATAGTTTGCTTGTAATGTTTGCAGGACAAATTTTGTATTGGCTATTAGAATTTCGAAGTACTGTAGGTTATTGAATGATGAGTTATGATGTTGATTCCTTACAATCTTAATGTGTACTGAATTATGTGATGTTCTCTCCTCTAATGTGTCCATTTGTTGCTACAGAGTGAGAAAATTTAATTACAACCTTAATGCATTAATTGCAATATTAAACACTTAAATATTAGAGTTTAGATTGATCTTTTGGATCAAACTATAACATGAAAGTATTAATCCCTTTTAATAACAAAAATGTTTCGTGTAATTATAGTGTAAATGGGGTGTAATTATTTGGATTGCTTGAATATGTAATGAGATATATGGCTAAACTCTTTGGACAATTCAAAGATATTACTTGTTTAAGTTGTTTTCACCTATTTTACCTTTTAATTTTGATGATTAGTGATTTTTTGAACACATGATTTGTACGAAGTACTACAATACTACTTTTGGTTATGTGGCTCTATGGTGGGTTCAATTACTTATCCAAAGTAGAAATAAAGATTCATATATTTGATACTAGATCTAAAGAGATAACTTGATATAGTTTAACTTTTTATGTTTCATATTCTTGCTTCTTCATGTTGCCTTCACAAGACACACTAATATTATGCTTATCTAGCACCTTCACATACATATACTTTCAATTTGAGTTGGAAGTTAAAAAGATGACACGGGAAAGAAGTAGATAATTAAGCAGGCGAGTGAATGAGGAGCTAAAGTGATATCCAGAATAAGTTGTCACATTGATAGCGTATTTTGAGCTAGCTTAGCGTAGTGAAAACTAAATTTGAATAGCGTATATGTCACGAGTAGCTAGCTTTCGAGTGGGATGAAGGTATTAATGTCTAGCTTGTTGATCAACTAAGCTTAATGACAAAAAAGGTTTGAATGTTGTCATGGCCTTACTTTAACATGTGCATCAATTACTAAACTCCATGTTAAGTAGTGTATCATAGGCATAGCTTTGCATCTTATGAAAGAAGATAATAAAGATTGAAAAAGTGAGATAAAATGGAAAGAGTTCACTGATTATTAGCAATGTTTAAGAAAAGAATCTTATTAATCTCCAGCTTGTAAAATCATGTATATTGCCTCTTTATGTACTTTTGTTTATGGTGATTATTGTAAGCTCTCCATATTCAACTTTCATAACTTCTAATAATTTTATCATATAGAACCGCGATTTTTTACAAGAATGTACGTCCAAGTTCTAGCTTTACCCAATCTTTATCATGAATTGCATTGGTAATCTATCATTAGTCATGTGTAATTAAGCTTTCAAACTAGTCTTTGACAAAATGTTTAATGGAAGCAACATAAATGTAGCCTTTGTAGTTTGTATGTAATACACTTCCTTTGTCTATCATCCTGAAGTAATTATCATTGTCACGTTTTCTATGACAGTAATGGTTTGCGACTGACTCCTAAATATTCTTATACCATGAGGGGTTAGTTAAAACAATGAAACAACAGAAGGAGTTATTGATTTCATTCAAGTATACTTTAACTTATGATGCTTACTTCTTATTTACTTACTGATAATCCTAATATATCCCTTTCATTTTCGTATATAATGAATGTGCTCTCTTTTAGTAAACTAGCAAGAATTGAGAAGTCTTGTTGTTCACTCTAAGTTAGGTGTGAGCAAAGATGGTGTGATGCGACACTTCTTTCACTGCCCTTCAAAGGCATACACAACAGGAACAAGAAAGCGAAGAAAGGTCCACACTGATGAAGACGGCGGAGAGACAAGATGGCATAAGACGGGCAAAACTCGACCCATACTCATCAATGGCGCGGTTAAAGGCTTCAAGAAGATTCTAGTATTGTACACAAACTACGGAAGACAAAGAAAGCCAGAGAAGACAAACTGGGTAATGCATCAATATCACATTGGCCAAAATGAAGAAGAAAGAGATGGCGAATTTGTCCTTTCAAAGGTGTTCTATCAAACACAACCTAGACAATGTGGTTCAACTATCAAAGAAGTACCTCAAGATGTTGAACATCCTGCATTGATCAAGGCCCCTCTCAATTATTACCACCCGAGTTACATTCCTTACGACCATCATCATCAACAACAACAACATAACGACGTTGGGGAACAAAGTAGAGATAGACCATCTCAGTTGATCCCTAACTTAATACTACAAGGTGACGGGTCATCTCTGTTTACAATAGCTACTACTCGAAAATCATGAGAAAAACTGGACTGAATGGTACATACTAAAATACAATATACCATTGATTTGAACTCGTGATGATAAGGACTTACTTGGTGGTTGTTGGAAGGTCAAATGATATAGTTTCAAGGTTAAGGGTAATGAAATTGACTTCATATGGTTGGATTTTGAAGGGTTTGGATGGCAATTTGGTAATTTTCCTTAGGAAATTTTGAGTTGCGGAAATGGCTATGCATGCAGGTGAAGTGAAGATCAGCTATTCAGCAATTATAATATACATGTACACTTTTATTTTGTAGGTTAAATTAGGAGGGGTAAAATGGGAACTAATTTGTTGATACTGTACAAAGATATACTTTTCATTGTACGGTTTTCTAGGGCAAAATTTACATTAATTACATACACATAACGAGAAAAGTTCTTAGGTAACTATTGTATTTTAATTTTTCCACAAAAATTTAATAACGTATGAAATTATGAGGGAATAATTGGATGATACTAATTCAAGTTATGATTTGCTATGACCACAATTGAAGGATACTACAAGAAAACAGATATTTTACAATTGGAAAAAAAAATTCATCGGAAAGGTTGGCAATTCCATCGGAAGTACTAATTTCCGATATAAATTAATTTCGTCGGAAACTTTGCAACGGATGTTCCATCGAAAATGGACATTTGTCGAAAAATTCAAAATTTTTGACAGAATTTGGAGTCTGTCGGAAAATTCTATCGGAAAAGAGATGTTTCTAGTAGTGGGACATTGATAGGAATAATAAGTTGGACAGTTAGACAACAAAACTATGTAGTATAAAACATTGTTATAGCTCCATTGTACGTACTTGTATAATCTAGGATAATTTTTCATTTCTTTTTTATCATTTATACATTATAATTCAAAACTTAAATTTATAGCTTAATTTAAGCTAAGAAGAATGCCTTTCAAAAAAAAAAAACTAAGAAGAAAATAAATTATTTAAAAATATCAAATTATTGAAAAAATACTCTCTTTTTCTACACTTAGATCTTTCAAATGATATTTATCTTACTTTATTTTTATCTCTTTTTGAACTCTGAACAACTTCTTAATTCTCTTTCTTCGTGCTACAATTAATCACAATATCAAAGAGTAGAGTGCGTGCAAAATTATATGACTAATTGATACTCCGTAGTATTGTTTACCATTAATAAAACTATTAAAGTAAACCGTCATAAGTATGCAATTCGACTAACATGAGCTCAATAATTGGATATGATGTGTACGATATGAGCAGTGGCGGACCCAGGAATTTCCGACTGGTGAGTCACAATCGATAATCAAATATGTAAAAAAAATTTTTTTACCAAACAACCAAATAATAGTACTAAAAAATACATCTAAATATTCAAACAGTACAAAATACAACCAAATGTTCATATAATACTACAAAAGATAATTAAATAGTAATGCAAACTTATTACAATAGTTCTCGACGAGTTTTCATGTTTTGATATCGATTTATGATATCTTCCATGCTAACATTCAAAAACAAATCATTCTCCAAATAAGTAATTAAACAATCATTCAACATTTGATTTAAAATAATCACTCAGGCACTCAGCAAGTCAGCACTTCAGCATTATCATTATTACCCCTAAAACAAAAACTTAGAATTCAAACAATATAGATTTAAAATAATAATAATCATAATTGTGAAAACTAAATAATAGCAGAGACAAAGAAAAGCTTAAGTTTGATAAAATCTGGAAAATTATAATCTTACTCGTCCCACTTCGCTAGAAGATCGTCCGTAAACTTATCGAGGTTAGTGTTATCCCATGGATTTGCATCCCGAAACTCAGTTAGAGGAGGAATAGAACAAAAAAGACGAACAAGGATAGAGTCATCCATTTTTCTTTAAAGTTTTTTCTCAATTTCTATTGCTTCTCTTCGATTAGGGTTTTCTGGAAAATTTGAGAGGAAAGAGGTTTGCAATTCAGTAATCTAAACTGCAATTTTATAACCTGCAAGTATTTGGAGTCGGTTTTGGTTTTAATCTTTTTTCTAATATCAGGCCTCCTGTTTTTCTTTCCTTTTTCTTTCGAGCAATAAAAATCTCAGCCCTTCACTACCCTTTTCCTGTTATTGTCCACCGTCCACGACTCCACGGAGACGGAGCAGGCGAAGAGAACGGTGCCTGGGTGGAGAACTGGAGATGAAGCGAAGAGGCGAAGAGAACTAGAGAAGAAGGCTAGGGTTTGAACTTTGAGGAACAGAGGAAGACAGTAACTCGGAAAGCTAAAGAAAGTTTTTTTTTTTTTTTTTTTTTTTAAATAATTTAAAATTTTTTTTGGGCCCTGGTGAGTCACTTGACCCACCAGGCACAAGCCCAGGTCCGCCACTGGATATGAGCTAGAGGGTCAAATAGGAGTTTAATGGTAGATCTTTCACCTTTTAATCATGATATAGATAGTTCGAATCTACTCTCTACAACTCTACATTTTAAATTTAATTGTAACAGTTTGGCCTTCTCTACTATTTATTAAGTCAATTTAGTTTGACTTTATTTGAACTAATGTACAAACAAATTTTAATCTTTTTTTTAACCTTCATATGTTTTTGAATAAAATAAAATATACAAAAGTATTCTAACTTTTTTTTTTTAGGTAATGAGAATTCTCTTACAACTAGGGAATGAAATTAAAAATCATACTAAGGGTTTGTTCTCTTCAGCTTAATTTCAGTTCAATTTAATTCAGCTCAGCTCAGCTCAGTTCAATTCAGTTCGATTCCTAATTTCCTTCTCTCATAATAAAGGAAATTTAGTTCAGTTTAGTACTTTAGTTCATCTCAACTCAATTCAGTAAAATAAGAACATGCCATATTTAAAGTAAGAATCAAACCACTCTAACAAAAATGAAAAGAAGACCTACAACCATTAAGGGTCTGTTTTCGTACGTTTATTTTCAGTTCAATTCAGCTCCTAATTTCTCTCTCTTATAAAATATGGAGTATTAATTTCAGTTTAATTCAGTTCAGTTCAGCTCTAATAAGTTCAGTTCAGTTCTGCTGAGTTCAGTCAATAAGAATAGGCTCTAAATCAACCTTAATTCTAAAAATCTCTTCAGCTCGTGCGGTCATACGTAGCATTTATTTAATATTTTGTCACTTCGTCGCTAACATATCGTTCTTATGGGCCCATTTTTTTCTTTCGAGTATTTAACATTTAGCTTTGCCTGGGCCCTGCCCTGCAGTGTGTGGTTCCTACAGGCGTAGGTACCTAGCTTGCATCATACATCTATTTCGCGGAAAGAACATATTGTACAAATGTAAAGAACCAACTGTTGTAATGAAAAGAACATACTATTAAAATATAATGAACATGTATCTAAATTGAAAAGAACATATTTGCACCAAAAAAAAGTAAAAAGAACATATGTTCATGTTCTTTGACTGCCTATATAATATACTTTTATTTATGATATAATGTTCATTGCTTATTGTGTATTGTTCTTTGAATTTTGTTTTAAAATTATGGTGGGTATATATAAATAATGTTCATTACACAATATTTTCATGTTCTTTATTAATATTACAGAAAAAAAAAATTAATGTTCTTTATAAAACAGCTATATGTTCTTTATAAAATAACTTTATGTTCTTTATAAAGTAGCTACATGTTTTTTCTGCTTTTCTTGTCTGTACCAAGCAAGGTACCTTAAAACTTTCACCTGCCCCGAGGAATATGTCTCTATGATATCTTAGAAGTAAGAACCAGGTGATCTCCCAAGGAATAACTAAAGTAATTCACTTAAGGGGTGTTTGGTTAACGGAATTTAGGTATGAAATATGTGTTTAGAATAATTAAAACTTTAAACTCCTATCTTGTGTTTGGCTTATGATTTTATGAATTTTAAACTCATATGATCATACATTCATACCTAATCTCTAGTGGCGAGATAGATTTAGCTCATATGTTTAGTATTAAGAATTTTAGATTCAAACCTCAAATTAAACATATGTTTGGTTTCAAGTACATAAACCAATCCCGAGTCTCAAGTTCCTCAATCATAAGCTTATCATTTTATAGTTGAGACCAAAAATTGATTTATACACTCTATCATGTACACCTTCAGTTCTACATGCAATCAAGTAAAACGACAACGTATAATGACTTTTTTTTATGTTATAATGCACCATCATTGTATAATAATCAGTGGCGAAGCTATATTAAGGGGCCTTGTGGCAGCGGCCCCACCATATTTTTTTAAATTTTTTTTATTAAGTTAAAGGTGTAAATTTATAGGTTAAATACAATTTATAATGCAATAAAATAATAAATAACATCAAAGTAGCTTTGTCGTAGTGCTAATGCATTGAATTTGTGTTAAAAGTTTTGAGTTCGACATCCACCACATATAATAATATGCCCTTTTTAAAAATATCCTACATCCACCACTGATAATAATATGTCTTTTAAAAAATGTTATGTGTTTCCAATGATGTTTATGCTCTTTATGCTATCATTCAATTTCGATAAACGTATATGTGCGTTTTTTTTTAATACAAAACCAAATAGTAGCTCTTAAAAAAGCATGCAAAAACGTGTCTTATATTTAAAAGAAAGTAGTGAAAGTATAAAGAAAAAAAATGAAAATTTTATGTCTTCTTTTTCATAATATACAACCTTCATTTTACTGAGACTTACATGGTTATTCTAGCTACACAAACTAAGTAAAAAAAATAAAAATAGAAACCATACATGCAAGTACTTGTACTCGGTATTAAGCAAAAGATTTATTAAATAAAATAGGGCTCTACAAAGTGGAATTGTGGATGATAAACATGAATAGAAACCTATCATAAAAGGAGTAAAATAAAAGTGAATAAAACTTTGAAAACGGATAAAACGAAAAGCGAATAAGACTTAGAAAAACAAAGGTAGCACCTCGTATTATACAATAATTAATAAGTCATACTTATATCCTTTAATTTTAAAATTAGCATATTCCATTCTTGTGCACCATTGTGCAGAGTTCTTTCTAGAAGAACCAATAAAACGAAAAGTAAACAAGACTTAGATTAACGAAGGTAATATTATACGAAATATAATAATTAATAAGTCGTACTTATATTCTTTCATTTTTAAATTAGTGCATACCATTCTTGTGCACCATTATGCAAAGATCTTCCTAATTTTGGCCCATGTCTATTCCTCAGTAATCTATATTCAATTTTGGTAGAATTTTGAGATTTTTTGACCCTCTTCTTCCCGCCTTCACCCTAGCACATAGGCCCACTTAGGCCCCGGTTTAATGTAAAACATTTTCAATGGAAAATTAATTTTCACGGAAAACATATTTTCAGGGAAAAACACAATTGCAAATTATTTTTCCTTTGTTTGGTTGCATATAAGAAAAATTCAAGAAAAATAAAAAATAAGAGTGAAAATGTAAAGATGAATGAGAAGGAAGTAAAAAAAGAGGTAAGGAGGAAAAAGGAAAATGTGGCTTCCCTTGTTTTGGAAAATAAAATGTTTTCCCAT